GTGATATAAGTATTAATAGAACATCTCAATCCCATCCTACATAATGGTATTGTGCTAGAGGAGGAAAAGTTACAAGGGAAAAAATGTCACGAACCAAAATATTCAACAATACCACACCCTAGATCAGGTGCAAGAAGAATTTCCAAATAAAGACTGTTCACATCCGCTGGAAAATAGATGGAAAAATTAGGTGCCAAAACCCTTATTTCAATGAGGTTGCTTATGAGGGTGATATTGCTTTTATTAGTACTCAAGGTATAAATTGACAACCTCCAAGTTGGAAGTAGTTAGAGAAATAAGGAGATATGCATTCCAAATGGTACCCATCACAACCTAGCTAGGTTAAACTAAATGTTGATGGCTCTGTGAACCAGAATAGTGCTGCTGCATATGGTCGGTGGCCTTGTTAAGGATGGCCAAGACAATTTGGCTAAAAGGATTGAGTAATAGATATCTTGGAATTTGGTACCACCCTAACATATATTGCAGCTGCCAAAGTCTTCCCCCTATCCTTGAAGGGGTTAATCTTTGTTCAGAAGTTAAATACCATAAAGTTAACATCTATATATTATCTCAACTCCGGCCTTTTATATAAAAGTTAGATAAGTAATTTGAGAATAATAAAAAAATTAATTAAGTTGATTGATTGTAACAAATGTGTCTTGAATTTTCTAAATTATCCTATTTAATTATGTGTATGAGAATTATTTCTTAGTGAGAACTCGTTACAATTAATAAGAATATTTTAGATAAAATATTATAGATTTGAAAGATATAATTGATTGAGATATTATATTTATTACTAAATTCAACTTTCAACTAGCTCTTATATTTAATATTGGAAATATTATTATGGTTCGATTCAGGCTCTTAGGCTTGTTGGAAATGAATACTCTATGGGATCCCATTTCGGCCCTGTCGAAAATATTGCACCGTTTGAAAATTACCAAAGAAAAGGGCAATGGTATTGTAAATTGAATTCCCACATTATTTATCTATGAAAAGTAACATTCCATCCATCACTCTATATGGAAGGAAATAATAGTATTTCTGTTAGGAATGGAATAATAGAAAACCAAACATACTCGAGCAAAGATTCGCATTCTTATATTCTCATCCAATATAGACGATTTCAGTATTTCACTACTCGTATTGGCACAAAATACTCAAGCAAAGATGAATTTTTGCTTTTATTTATTGGGCGACGTAGAAATTATTCATTGCCACAAAGGAAGTAATACCAAAGGCTCATGTTGGCGTTGGTGTTGGAGGGGCACCAATTAGTTCCGTGAAAGGGAGAGATCACATGGTTCTCAATCAAATGACAGATGAGACATGACAAGTGGCATGAGCCAATAAATATGGTCACAAATAACATTGGCCTCCCCTTCTGAAATAAAATGTGTGTTTGTGTGTGTGTGTTTGTATAATTAATTGCAAGTTATGCGTACTGTTTACACAAATTAAAAACAGTCTGTCTTATTTTCCAAATTTTAATTCGAATGAAGCTCTCTAATTAAAAATTTCACAAATTATTTCTCTGTAATCAAAGATGGATTGTTCTTAAATAACAGTCTATCCTCATCATTAAACTATCTCATCTGTGCTCTAACCCCACCCCCCCCCCCCCCAAAAAAACAGAAATCATTTCAGTCCTTATCAAATTGGCGCATACCATGAAAATAATAGACAAATTCATGAAACGAGTATTACCCGTTCACAAGAAGATGCAAATGTAAGGCCGCCGAGTCCAAATCTCTTGAACTAATTGAATTGGTAGAGATATTATTTCAAGGTTCATTAGTGTTATCATATTCAAATAGCTAGTATGAGCATAGAGCTAGCTTAAGATAAAATTAAAAAAAAAAAATGGTGGCACAGTCCAAATCCAAAATATTACCATTTAGTATGAAGTATGGGTGGTAATACAAGCCAACTCACAGGTTAGGATTAGGTGGTGTAGGTTGAAAAGGTCTCGTATAATAGCAGGTTAGCTTTTAGCCAATTCTAAGGACCCGTTTGGTTCAACTCCATTGTAGGTGTGTGCAATGGTAATCCTTATTGTATTACCATAAATGACATGTTTGGTTGGACTTACCAATGGTAAAAGGAATTACAATGGTATTATCAATTGCACATTTTTTTATAATATCTATTCCTATGGAAGGGGCTATGAATGATTATTGTAGAGCAGTAATTTCTCATAAATGTCCATTTCATCCCATGGAATCAATGTGAAAATACAATATTTGCCCTTAAATGTTATCCCTCCCCAAACTTTATCTTTCATCTCCCTCCCTCCATTACCATCATTGCTCCCTCTCCTTCTCCCTTGTCTCTTTCCTCCATTATTGTCATCTCCTCATACTACTTCACCTTCACCTCCAAATCTATTGATCTTTGTCCCCTCTCTCCAGATCTGTGCTTTTTTTGGTGCATCACATGTTGACCATGGCTGAAAGAGTTGATGGAGAAAGGGAATCGTTGTTGGCAGTGAGAGAACTCAAGTGTAAACAAAACACAAAGTCGTGCAAGATGGGCAATGCACAAGGGTCGTCATAGTAAGAGACAATGAATGTTAAAACGACATATGAGAACAGCATTGCGTCTAAGAGCTGAAGACAGTGAAGGCATCTGTATGGAGAAAAGCAAGGTTAATTTGGTTCTTTCTTTCTTGTTCACCATAGTTTGACTATGGAGAGGAGAAAATTGAAAATGTTTCAATTTGGAAAATTCAAGACAAAGCTGAAGCAAAAATGGAGGTGGACTATGAGTTGTTGAAGAGGTGTTGTGACTTGCAAGGATTTGATGGAGGGGGATCGGCAATTGTGGAAGGAGGTGTAGGAGCATCTTCGTTTGTGCCTGTGATTGGAGACATTCTAGACTTTTAATCTTATTTTCAATTGATTAAACATAAAAGATAATTTTTTTTTTGCCAAATCTTATTAATAACTTACCAAACATATTGATAGTAAGGAATATTACATTACACCCCATTACATTGCATTGCATTACCATCTATAAGCACTTGGTAATTGAACCAAACGGACCTTAACCCGTCGTGGTGGGTTAGCCAACGTGCCAACTATTATTTTTTTTAAATTTTTTTCATTTTAAAAATATTTTTGTTATACAATATAAACAAAATATAATGAAATTTTTATCTTTCTTTCAAATACTTGATTAAAGACACCAAATAAATGATATAGTATTTTTAAAATTTTTTATATAGGATATACAATATAATAATTAATAAAATTAAAAACATATTAAAAAATAAATGCAGGTTATCTCGTGGGCTGGCAGGCTAATTCACGGTGGATTGTGAATTTAACAGTACGAGTTAAAAAGTTTCTTTTGCTAGTCGGGCTGGCTTTTAACTAGTTCTAACCTGCCATTTTTGATAGGTTGGCGTGTTGAACCTCTCTACTACGAAGCACTGAGGATAATGAGATGTAGGGATTAGGATTAGGAATACTAATAATATTTCCTAATTTTACCTACATGAGTATGTCCAAATTCTAAGGAACAATCAATCTCTTATACTAAGTATTTTTTAATAAGTTTTCTCAATCTCAATTATAATCTTTATCTCTTATTCTCAGTTCTTGATACTAAATGGGATCTTAAAGTCGTTAATTATTAAAGAAAGTACTCAATGAATACCAAATATCAAGGAACCTTGCCGGAAGAGGCTTCGGGAGATTACTGGCTGATAAAGAGATCTAAAACTTACACATACATTTATCCCAATGCAAACTTCATTCCCGATTTCTTTATAACTACATACTGACCTAACCTATACCCCCAAAAGAAAATATGATTACACGTATATTTTGTCTATGTTTCAATAATGGTTATCCAAAATCTGTAATACACATGTTAGCCAAACCAAGCACTTTTTTGTTCTATTCTATTTGAATTTTAGTTTACAGTGAAAGTGCGGTTAGGTAAACTGGCCTCACTCTGTGGAGTATAGAAATAAACTTCTTATAAGTAGACCGCTCAAATCGTAGTATATGGCACTTTTCTGTGTTTTCGTCAATGGATCCAACAAAACCAACCAAAGAAATTTGATTTGATCTTTATTGATGTAACCGCCCATTTTAAAATTTGAAGTTTGATGGTCCATTCATATGTAGTTTAGTCTCAAAATGGTAGCTGCTCACGTCGAAAAAAGAGAGAGAACTTATTCGGATCAATGACAAATCGAACTGAATTCCATAAGAATAATAGTTATATAGAGTGTGAAATAATTTATTTAGTAATAAAACAAGGTGAAGATTATGGGCACAAATAAAATTGGCATTTTTACATGATGAAAAACGTATTGGTAAACAAGGCTTAATATAGACAAACTAATTTTGTATTTAATAAACAATAGTATTCAATTATTCATATATCACTCCCTTTATCGCATATTTTGAGAGTGCATGTGTCTCATGTTTATAGTATTCAACTATTCATATAACTTTACAAAAAAATCATACACAAAATCTTTGAAATATTTCCTGTTATTTGTCATGTGTTGACCAACATTACCTGATATGCAAGGTTTATTGACTTTGAGCTCTTTTAATTATATATAGTTTTGATGATCATGTGATGAAAATAAAGATAGTTAATCGGTTAATTAGGTAATGAAATGTCTCTGCCTTTCTTTTTTCTTTTATTTTGCAATCAAAATTGAATGAAAACTTCATCCCAACAATTACATATATTACAAGTTTTACACAGCCAAAGATCATCATCCCCCACTTTGAAGCAACAAAAATTAACGATCAAAATTCAAAACATACAAAAATAATTATTACTCTCATGAGAAAACATTATTAACATGAGCTAATCTAATAAATTCTCTATCTGTTTTTTTTTTCTTTTCTTGCCCCCTTTTCTCCTATGAAATCAACAAAATGTGATGGACGTGTTTAACATCAAAATCACATGACGCCACCAACCCAATTTTCCATTAAACGACAGTGAATGGGGCAGTGACGACATTGGCTCCTCAAAGATTTTGACCATTCTAATAACAATATATACATATTTTCAAACAAAACGTCAAACAAGCCGCCTTCAAACGACAATACGGCAAGACAAACCCAACTTAGTTCCCCGGATTTTCACGACGTGCCCGGTGATTTCTCTCAAGAAGTCCCTCGAGAATCACTTTCTTCTTGTAAACCTCAGAATCCAAATACAAGTCATTTGAATCTGCATTCAATTTTTTTATTGCGTTGTTTTCACCGGCCCTTACCATTCGTGGGAACAAATACAACCACGCGGAAGTGCAGAGAATAGCACATAAACGACCCCACACTACCAGTATAACCAAAGTCACCAGAACAGCTGACAAGCCAAACGCAGAGTCGTATGACTCGCGTCTCCTTGCGTTTCTCGACCGCACAGCCTTGTTCAAAGTCGTTTGACCCTGCCTTGGAACGGAAGACGACGAATGACTCTGCCGTCGTTTTGAAGCAGGCAAATAGACCGAGTGTGATACGGCTGGGACTGAGCTGCTTTCTTCACGCGCGTCCTCTTTAGGTGAAGCCACGTGAGACAAGCCGTTCTCATTTTCTGGGTTTCGCTTTGCTCTTTCTCGTTGCCTTGTCTAAAACCAAAGCACAAGAAAGATCTGAGCTTTCTGGTTTTTTTTTTTTTTTAATCTCTTCCATGGTTCTGGTGGCCTAATAATCCTAATTAAGCTCTTATTTGCAAGTGAACAAAATTAAACATACCTGGGAAAGTGTCTGATTGGGTGTGACAGGGACCACCGGAGGTCTCTGACGTGGCGATTGTGGATTGGTTGCTGGAGTTTGAGATTTCATTAAAGGTTTCTGATTGTTTGACCTTGACTTCGACTTCGGCCTGAACAACTTCTTCCACCTCCATTTCCGAGAATGAACTGGATGAGCTCTGCGTTCCTTGTCATCAGGCAAAGAGGCATCCAACGGCACCGTTTTGGAGTCTGACTTCTTTCGAACCCTTCGCCATGAAAACTCAGATTCTCTCACGGAGATTTCATCGTGGGAAAAAGAGCCAAAGCAGCAGAGGAAAAGAGAGGATTTAGGTTTGGATTTATGGGGTTTGGCCATGGAGAAAGAGAGAGACTAGGAATAGAAGAACATGATGACGATGAAGGAGTTTGAGAATGGAAATGGATTGAATACATGAGAGCCTCATTAAAATAAGAAGAAACAAAAGGGTTTAAGGATCTGATTAATTTATTATAGAAATAAATATAAAGATGCAGTATTGGTTTGATTTAAACAACCATGGTTTGGCAGAAAGACTTGGACTTCGTCTATCAGCCTCCAGTCCTTACACGTTTGCCCCTTCCTCACGTTTCCAACATCCATAAATATAACTCAAGGAGACAAGGATTAATATATTATACTAAGATTAGACTGGCTTCGCTTAGTTACAATACAACAAAATGATTTGTTTTAGTTTGCACAAAAATTAAGATATTAAATATATATTATTAATATTACCTTTTGTTTATTTACAAGAAAAAGGTGAAGATTAAATTTTTTATATAATTATCTGATATCCAATACTACTAGGTGATACTCGAACATTGTTAGAGATAGTTTCTAAAAGTATTTTTTTGCGTTAATTAGTATGTAAAGCATCATCCACCATGTTATTTTCTAATTGCATCTAATACCCTAATTTTATTGATGGTGCGCTCTAATGTTATTTTTTGGTGCTAGATATTTTTAGTTCATTCATTCATGTGCCCCCAACTCTAAATAAGATTAGGATATATTGGATATAAATTGACAATAATGTTAGGGAGTGTTGGACGCCTGGATGCACTAAAAAAATACTCCCTCCGTTCCTTATTATAAGAGACATTTGATGCTTATAGCATGTTCCCATATATAAGAAACACTTAAAAGTTGTCTCTAGTTTTTTGTATTGATTTCCTATTTTACCCTTATTTATTTTGTCTCCAACTCATTCTCTCTCCCTCCCACTTCTCTTTCTTTTAATAATTTAATTGTTCTCTCTCATACTCTCTCTCCTTATTAATAGGGGCATTGTTGGAAAAAATATTATACTTTTTACGCATTAATTGTCCTTAACTAATTTTAACTGTTTTTTTTATCAACGTAATTTGATTATTTGTCTCTTATAATAAGGAACGGAGGGAGTAGTATCAGTGTGTTAAATGCTTCATAAATAATATTAAAGTGATGGATATTACTGAGAAAAAATACTAGGGTGTTGAATGTCACTTTACCCTTAATTAATTATCATTCTTTTCTCTCTCTTTTTTTGACGAAAAAGTTTAGGTGAATTAGGTTTCGAAAACTTATCAAGGTTAGTGTGTTAAACTCACATCAATAGTAGAATTCAAATTCACAACCTTGTGAGTTATAAGCCGACTCTTTATTTGTAACATCCTAATTTTTTTTATCCCTAAGACTAAAGTAAATTTATTAGTAAATTTTTATTAGCATTGATTTAACAGAAGTTAAAAATATATATAAAAATAGTTATAATAATTATAATCATATGTATGCGTGTATATGTCAACTATATATATGAATCGATGAATACAATAACAAATTTGAGAAATCCCACATAAACAAGCTGATAAGAAAATGGGGCTCTGTGAGCCCAAACATAGGGGTAGTGTGGGGAATTAAAAACAAGTTAAATAATTTTTGCACATAACTAAAATATTCTCAGTAAAGTGTCATGTACGAATTCATAAACCGTTGGATTGGGATGAAATTTGGTCTGTCAGTCTGGGACATCTAGCTCATCAATTTCAACAATTGGATGATTGATTAGATCTCTAAGGTAAGATTTATTATGTATGCATTAAACTTTTTTTTTCAAATTTTGTAGATAGAACCCTAAGTAGTAAGTTATTGTTTTTGAATTTGTTCATTGTTATATCAAGCCAAAATTTGGAAAATAGACTCAAGACATCCAATACATTAATTTCAATGATTAAATTAATAATTAAATTTTTGTAGTGAGAATAATTTAACTCGTATTAAATCCATTTCTCTTGTTTCTTTGAAAATAGAACAGAGGCTATAAATTGAAAGTTTTTTACCTAGGTTATGAATCAATTGTAATTGATGATTCTAGTATGATATAATCTATTAATTGAAAGATAATACAAGTTAAAGAAACTTAGGAATAAAATCTAAATCATGGCATTCCTGTTCTTACTCCAAACCTTAGAAAAATTATACGAGCTAGAATTCTGAGTAAAAATTCAAAAACCTTAAAGAGAGTTATGGATTGAAATTTAATATATAACTTACCCATGAGATACTGTAATAATGTATATTTTTTGTTTGTAAATCTGAAATTTGGTTTGTTGATTCCAAGTTTAGGGTCTTAATTTTTAACTCATAAGCACTTGTTGAATACCAGGTAATGTGAATTCTTACTTGTTTCCCCTACTAATTCCTCTATGAGTAGTTTTTAATTAAATTGAACATTTTAGGATAGATCTTGAATAATATAGAATAGAAAAACTGTCTTGAAATTATGGAAAAATTTTAGAAATTTGGAACAAGCCTGGTGGGAGTGGTTTGTGAAAAAGGAATTAATTATTAGAACTTTAGGACTGGATAAAAGCTCAATTAATGATTTTTGGATGAAATTACGGAACTGTGGCATATGATGTAGTTTGTGCCAATGAAGTATCCAAGCTATTGTTTTATTTGATTGGGTTTTATATGGCAACATGAGTTTTTGGAATGGTATATTCCTGTCTTGATTACTTGAGAATACTATTGTATGGTATGATATAAATTATCTGAAGTGGTTAAGATATGTTTTGAATCTTATGTGATACATGTTTTTATGATACCTGATGATGATTGAGAAATGCCATGGCGATAATTAATTGGTTTAACACTCATGGGAGGTGTTATAATGGAGACTGATATACATATATTACCATGTGGTTTGCCTTCATAGCGCGCATTATGGTTGACTCTTTAGAGATGGCAGTATCCCTTAGTTTACGACACTCTAGGAGTATCCTAGGGCAGTATCCCTTGAGGCCAACATCTCTGCTAGGAAACTGAGCAGTAAACCCATTGGGGCAGCATCCCTCTTTTCTGGAGGAAGCCATGGCCTGCATGTACTTTGCCAACTTTCGCTAGTCCACATCACACGTGTGGAAAGCTCATGAGAGTCAGCAATCCTGTCATTAGGACTCAACCTATGGGTTCAACTGGGCAAGTATAAAAAGGATACAAGGCAGGAATTGAACGATGAGTAAAGCATGCATATATGCTGATATTTCCTTTAGCTCATATGTTTGTGATGTTTGTTTCCTGTCCTGTGATAATAATATGTTAATGATTGTTTAAATTGTTAGTCCTACCTGGATCCTCTAAGGGGTGTTGGTAGGTGAGGTGGGTAGGAGTTTTCGTTACTGAGATAGTAGTCTCACTCCATTACTTCTGCCATTTTTAGGTAATAGTATAAGAGTCGCAATAGGAAAGGAACTGGAGATGTGAGGTCATCTTCATTGGTGATCACCCCTTGAACTTTGGTTATGTTCAATCATTATTTATTTGCCACTTAGGACATCATTATGCATCTCTTTTTATATTCTCCATGTTAAAACTATTAATATGTCCTTAATTATAAATTTTCTTTTGAAAGCCTTAAGGGCCGTGGATCCATGATCAAATATTTCTGAAGAATTCTTAGAAATAAGCTAAATTTCGTTTTGTTATATTACTTGTCACATACAAACTGTGTCAATTAGGTTCATGGAAGACTTTTTATAACCATGTTAGGAGTATAATACCTCCTAATATGGTTATGCACAACGGTTACGTATGATTCTTTTATAATCATGATATGTTATACTGTTGGCTGGTTGACAAACTCAATTACTTTTATATTTTTTGATATTTTTTATATGGGTTTTGTCAACTTAATTAGTCTTTTTTTCCTTAATTGATTGTTAATTGATTTAACATGTTTTATTTTGAATTATTATTTTATAGGGGCAAAATTGTTATATTTTGGTTTAATTGTGACTAATTGATTTTTAAGGACAATTAATGCTACCTTATTCTTCAATCTTGATTGCAAGTTTTTGACGATTTAAAAATAAAAGGAGAAAAAAAAAAGAAAAGCAAAAAAAAATTAATTAAAAAAAGAAAAAATAATAATAAAAGGGGAGAGCATTGGTTCTCTTATTTTTTTTATATTATGGTTATATGACAAAGAGTAAAGAAATCTGAAACAATTTTTATAACTCACTTTCTTTTATTAAAATGGTAATGATTTGATATTTCTTATCTGTGTTAAGTGTGGCAAACTTCTAGATAAAGTGTTATATTATCAATATAACTAACTCTTGTTGGTATTATCATTCATTTCTTATAGATATGTAGTAGTTAGTATTCTTTAATTTGTGTATTCTATTAAAACATGAGACAAATATTTTTCATTTGGGAAAGTAACATTAATTCCATTTCATTTTATTGAAATTGTGTAACGATTTGTTAATATCTTTTTTTGAAAGAACAAAGTACACCAGACAATTCTCTAATTTATTAATCAAATTAGATAATGTAATCAAACTAAATACTTTTTTGTTGCTTAAAATTATGTAGTTAATATACTATCTTTAACAGTTTATCGTGACATGAAAATTAGAGTAGTTTCAAATGCAAGGTGAACATTAAGTTAATTAATTATTCTTGTAATCCTATTAAGAGTAAAATTGTACTACCTCCAGTTCTTAATATAAAACCCTGTTTGACTTTTATTTTGATCCTAAATATAAGATCCGAATCTATTTTGTCTCTCATATTTATCTATTTTTTTTAAAGTAGCCCTTCTAATAACGGTAGTTCTAACCAATACACTTGATTAGCAATGATATTTTAAGAAAAATAATATCTACTTGTTACAAATAACTAGCTTAACTTATTTTCTTAATCTCCTCAAATTAGTCAATTAGTTCTTATAATTAGAACTAGAGGTAGTAGTACTTTTATATTATGAAAAGGTTTACTTTTTAACGAAACATATAAGTTTAGATGGGAGAAGTTTACTCTGCGCATATTAAAATTTTAGGAGAGATTGACGTAATCCTTGAAATAAAAAAATTGTAATGTAATCTCACTAAGGTCAAAGGAAGGTTATTGGTGTATATATATCAATTGGCAATTTTATTAAGGGGTTAATTTTGAATATTCCCCATGGTCTACGTGCATGCCTTAAGTCTTAAGTTGTCCTTATTTTATTTTTATTTTTCATTGATAAAATATATAGAAGAATCATGTGATGCAAAAAATATATTAATTATATTCTGCAAATTGTTTAAGTATTTCCAAATATCTTCCATCAGATGATTTTTCTTGGACGACAGAATCCAATACTTATACGTAGCAAGAGACACAAAGAATAGACTAAATATGTTTTTAACAAAAAAAGTCAGAGATAATATTAGAAACTAAAACGAAAACATAGGAAGAATGTCTATTTATTGATAACACATATCAAAGAGATATCTAATGCAAATAAATATAAATGATATATTTTAGAAAAATAAAGATATTAACTAATTTTCTTAATATATATTAATTGATATATAAATGAAGTATTTAAATTTTTTGTATAAAAAAATAATGGAAGGAGGTCCCGCCATTCATAGTATGAGTTTGTGCTTGTTTTTCTCAACCTGAACTGTCATGGGATGACCAAATAAAGGCCATGCGTATTACTTATCTATATATTCATGATTAAGCAAACTAAATCCCCTTTTTAAGAAGTTCGCAACCCTCGGACGGACCTCTTACCGCTATCGGGCAACTTGCCTCCACTAACAAAATGCTAAAATTATATATAAATAATTTTTTCCTTGAAAAAAATTACACATGATTTCCTTAGAAATTTTCATTTTTCCCCACCCCCAAAGATATCTTTGAACCCCCATGCATTTATTTTAAAAATATATATTGACTTTAGAAGTCATTTTGCACCATTCCACACTCTAAAAAAAAAAAAAAACCCAAACAATTGCACAATCACTACCTTATTAATGGTACGTTTGGTTCCATTAAAACCCCCAGCCAAATCATTCCATCAAAAAAGAGAAGGAATGTAAATTATTTTATAACATTTTACTGTTAAGGGTAAAATAATATATTATTATATCTTTTTATTTTTGCTATGTATAGGTAACCCCATGTTAGAAGTAGTTCTATTTGAAGTATTATTAGATACTAAATATGGACACTTCTCTCAGCGGGGATTTAAACCTTAGCTTGTTACGTTGTAAAGAACTAATTCTTACCATTAGAACCAACCTCTGTCGGTTGTAATTATATATATTTTAATTTTTTACTTTTAGTATAAGTATCCTTCTATTGTGGATAATTTTATTTGAGATACTGTCAGACATTAAATATTGATATTTTTTCTAACAAAGATTTAAACCGTAGTTTATCACGTTATAAGAGAATAATTTTTTTGGGCTAAGCCCAACTCCACGCCCTTGGTATAATTATGTGGTGTTGATGTTGGTGCAAAACAGGGACTGTACACTTCGAAGTTAGAAGTCGGAAGACCAGTCCCATTACATATTAGCAACAAAGGCCCGGGTGGAATAAAATCAGGCCGACTACTATGAGGCCTAGCATCCCTTTGAACAAAGTCAGAACTCTTAATGGGCTGATCCACCAAAACAGCCAAGCTCGCCAAATACTTCTCTGATCCTTAATATAAAATTTATTTAACTAATTTAATTAGATTAAGAAAGTTAAATAAGTTAGTTAATTATAAGACATGTGACCATTTTTTCTAAAATACCATAATCATTTTTTTAGTACCTCATCTTCCACTCCTACTTGATTATGGTTGAGGGAGTATCCACAGGGGTAATTTAAAAAAAATTAATAAATATGAGAAATGCGTCTTATATTTAGGACCAAAACCAACTCAATAATTAGGTCTTATATTAAGAATCGGGAGAGTATATCATTATGGGTCGGTGATTAATAATGTAAGTAGGGAAGTATATGCAATTAAGTACTGTCTCCATTCCTTATTATAAGATCATTTTAACTAAATTATGATATTTAAAAAAAAATTAAAATTAGTTAAAAGAAATAAATACGTAGCAAATACAATTTTTTTCAAATATACCCCTACATATAAATGGATAAATGTGAGAGAGTAATAATGAGATAAATAAAGAAAGAAAATGTGTTAGATGCATTAAATTAGGGGTAAGATAGGTAATAATATATTAAATACTCAGCCAAATTCAAAAAAATCTAGCAAAAAGGGATAGATCCATTAAAAAATTAGATCTTATAATAAAAGATGAAAGCAGTAACAAATATGCTGGATTAATTGTTAGGGATGTGACTGGGGAGATTTAATTTGGGAGGTAGCAGGGAAGGCTTTAACTACAGAGTGGGGATGGCTCAGTCCAAATGCAAATAGGAGCACTCTAATTTTGCTACTTTCCCATCTACTCTTTTTCATTATTGCTTTCATGCGTCTGCCTCGTTTTTAGGATGACGCCAATTATAACTTCCTACTTACGAGTCACGAGCCCTAGCACTTTTTTTTTTTTAAGTACAAGATTCCTCCTGATACTTTTAAGTATAAGATTTTTTTATATATTTACTTTATATACCGTAAAAATATTTTTAAAATTATAATTTAAGATTTACTCAAACACCTCCTTAATTTATTTTAAAAAAATATTTAAAAAAAAGTACTAATAGAGATATTTAAAGTCTGAACGTTCAAGAGATGCTGCCCAACACGAAACGGATAGCTACATAGAGCAAGCTACAGTTTGACATGGTGGGCCCATCAAACCACGCCTCACTTATAATACCCAATAACTAGTACTTTTTGCCAACACCTCAGTCTTTGTTTGCTTGGAAGGTTTTTAGAGATAGAGGAGAAGAAATTGTGTTTGGTTCAAAAAAATAAAGAAAAAAGGAGGGAAAAAATATTATCTTTTAGTACTCTCTTCTTCTTTTTTTACTCCTCTCCAAATTTAGAATTTTTTTGGAAGGGAAAAAATATTATCTCTTATCCTAATTAAATTATCCATGGTAGTTTTTGAATATTTCAAGGTTCTTCTTTCTAGTAAAAACTTTTTTTATTCTTTGCCTCTTTTTTTTTTACTTTTTTTTTTTCAATCTCTGCTATTCTTTTACAGATTTTTTTTTGCATATTTTCTTTCGCTGATTTTCTTATTTTTCACGCTCTTTACGATTAATCTTTCCCATTTTTCCCCTTACCTAATCTCTCACCTCATTCATCTTATCATTATTATCAGGATTTTTATTCATTTATTCTGTATAAAACTATTTTTTATTGGTTTATATGAGTTAAAGTCACTGAGATCTATTAAAATGATATTATCAATCACCAAATTTATTAATGTGTGTGTTTATATATACCTATTCTAATTTAATTTCATTTTTTTATACAGTACTTTGTGTATTATCTAATCAAGTATGTGAAATTGCGCATATTATATAATTAAGGATGGAAAAATTTAAAACTTGTAGCATAAATTTATTTATAATTTATATAATATATATGCTAAATATTATAATATATTTTTATGGTTGACACTTATTTTAATATATGATTATTTATAATCTATTTGTTATGTTTCAAGATACCTAGTTTCTTTTTTTATATTCATAAATTAGAAAATAATAATTATGATATAAATATCGTAATAAAATAATAAAAAAGTTTAAATAAAAAGATACATATATATTTGTTAACTTAAAATTAACTTCCCTCCATTCTCCTCTTAAACTAAATAAAAAATCTCCCCTGCACTTTCTTTTCTTCTTATCAAATAAAACTCATAACCTCCCTTCTCCTCCTCTCTCCCCTTAATTTACCTCCCTCCTCCTCCTATCTATTAGACCAAACAAAGCCTAAATCTATAACTATGGATATTTTAATTTTCTTTATTTATTTCACATATAAGTACGTCCTTACCCCGCTCATGATGACGACGTGTGACCGCTTCCAACCCCATTATTTTTTGTCGTCACCTGGCCAACCTCTGTTTCCCACAATGCTTGTATCGGCTTTGCGCGCCGGCAACCAAACTAGAGAAAATTAAATCTGGGGAAGAATAAGGAACGTAATTGGAGATGACGAGAGGAGAATATCAGTGTGAAACGGAAACCCATGTTTTGATGTTTCCATTGCCTGCTCAAGGTCACGTCAACTGTATGCTTCAACTGGCGGAGCTTCTGGTTCTCTCCGACGTCCATGTCACCTTTCTCAACACAGAGCACGTCCACCACCGCCTCCTTCGTTTCGCCGATGTCCCTTCTCGTTTAGCAGCCTATCCCACTCTCCACTTTGAGACTTTCTCCGACGGACTTCCCTCCGACGACCCCCGACACGGAGACAATTTAGGCGAACATATCAAACAGGTGAATTTGACCGCTCTGCCTCAGTTGAGGGAGATATGCATGGAAGATTCTGGAAAGCCTAGGTTCAGCTGTATCGTTGGAGATGGCATCTTTGGACGCCTCACCTACGAACTAGGACAAGAACTCGGGATTCCGGTAGTTTATTTCCGTACCGTCAGTGCTTGCAGTTTTTGGGCTTATTTTTGCGCTCCGAGGCTACTTGAATGCAACGAACTTCCTATTCGAGGTATGTATTCCTTCTGTTCCGGATTTAGTCAGATTCAGAAGTGAACTTTTTGAATGATCTGATATTAACAAGGGGTAAGATTGAAGGTGAAGACGACATGGATCGCATGATAACCAGTATCCCTGGTATGGAAAACTTGGTTCGATGTCGGGATCTCCCCAGTTTCTTTCGAGGAACACATAACGGTAACCTTCCTCTAGAACCTGTGGTGTTCGAGACCCATCAATCGCTGCGAGGACAAGCTCTGATTTTAAACACATTTGAAGACTTAGAAGGCCCGGTCCTCTCCAAGATTCGCCTTCACTTTCCCAGACTCTACGCCCTCGGCCCTCTCCACGCACACCTTACCTCCAGAAAAGCCGCCAAAACGATGTCGTCGGAGGAGAAACCGGCAGCTTCCTTCATCAGCAGTCTCTGGGAAGTGGATAGAAGCTGCATGACGTGGCTCGACGCTCAGCCACCTAAATCGGTGATATATGTGAGCTTCGGAAGCATAACCACAATCTCGAGAGATATGCTCACGGAGATATGGTACGGTTTAGTGAACAGCAAGAAACGGTTCTTGTGGGTGATCCGACCCGACATGGTGGCAGAACAAGACGGGAAGGATCTGCCATTGGAGCTTGTGGAAGGGACGAAGGAGAGAGGGTGCATGGTGGGTTGGGCCCCACAACAGGATGTTCTTGCACACGCGGCGATTGGTGGGTTCATGACACACAGTGGATGGAACTCGACGTTGGAGGGCGTGGTAGCCAGCGTTCCGATGATATGCTGGCCATACTTTGCAGACCAGCAGATAAACAGCAGATATGTGAGTGAGGTGTGGAAGATAGGGTTGGATATGAAGGACACGTGTGATAGGAAAGTTGTGGAGAAGATGGTAAATGATGTGATGGAGGAGAGGAGGGAGGAGTTTGAGAAATCGACGCAAGCTATGGCCAACTTGGCCAAAACGAGTGTACGAGAAGGTGGATCTTCCTACTCTGATTTTGACCGTTTGGTTGAGTTCTTGAAATTACTTGGTACTCGTCAAAAGCAAAGTTGACGGCGGAGAATCTTTCTTGTTTCCTTCTTCGGCCATGGATGGACTTTCATGGCCGATTCTTCTTCCACTTTGTGAAGTTATCACTTCATACTACCCTGATTATGATTTATAATTTATAATTTATAAATAAATTCTTATAATTAAGGTCAAAAATAGTATTTATTACGATTCTTAGTGGCGTAGGCCTAGAACCTAATAGTAGTTGCGATGCTTTAATTGTTTGTAGGACTTTGTGTATAAATGAATAAATAATGTGTGTGACCCCAAAGTAGCTAATGAAAGTTTTAGAATTAAACACCCTATGCCAGCCAAACTGAGAACGTTTACAATACATTCAAGGTGACATCAATTGGCGCCTAATGACTCTAATATAATTGATTCTAATAAGGGGATATTTATTATAACTAAGCTTAGGAAAAAAAAGTCACATCATTTAGTAGCAATTATAAAACTGTTACAGAAAAATACAATTAGTAAAGTCATACTCGTCTTTTCCTTCCCTGCGTTCTCACGGGCAAAACTTTAATTAATTTGTGAGGAATTCAAAAAAATAAAAGTTAGTGGGGACAAAATCTGGGCATTTAATATAAATATTAACATTTCCTTAAAATATATTTTTAAATGTTTAATAAATTACTATATAAAGAAAAAATTTGATGAAAACTAAAAACTAAATAATTGGATTGAGATCCTGCTTATACGAACAAATAACACTCTTTTACATTAGGGAACCATACGAATCGATCCTGCTTATCAGGACAAGAGAAAGAATTTGCTAATATTTTGATTACAGATTAGATTATTTAAAATTCTTGAGGTGAAAAAACAAAGATTATTTAAGATGCGTGATTAACATAAATGGTGCCTCTTTCATTAATGTAATTAAGGGCGGGGAGATGCAATAATTCTGGCTTAATTTGCAGCTATAGGGGTGAGGATGTTTTTTAATAATTTCACCAAAAAGAAAATTTTATGCATTACTGAGCATACGAGTACGTGACAAGGCCAAAGTCATATACGAACAATTCATACAACAACAAAAAAGTCATATACTAAACTGGACTGATACTAAATTGGTTGAAACAGTGATTTAAGAATGAGTGGGTTAAACTAGGAATTAACTTAGAGTCAAACAGATCATATTAGAATAATACAATGTAATTAAAAATAACAAAATATAATAACATTAATAATCACTAATAATAAATACAAAGAAATACAATAATAGTTTAATTATAATAATAACAAAGTATAATAACATTAAAAAATTTGATTTTTACAATTCCTTAATAATTAAAATTAATAATTATTGATACTAGAATCATAATTAAAATTCATTCAAAATTATAGTGATCAAGATATTAGCAGTTGAATGAGAAAAAATAGAATCAATAGCGATATAATCAGAACTAGTTCACGCTGATATTCATTACCCCTAGTTTGATACCGATTCAATTTTTAGCCAATTCAACATGCAAACTAGACTACTGGCCAGTTCGTTAGTTTAACCGATTAAACTAACCGATTCAGTCTGTCTTTTTTCCTTGTGGACAACAAAAAGTTACATCAATGATGAAACAAATTTAACATTTATGATGAAGAAAAAACAGAATAAAATATTATAAATATGGGAATGAAATGGAAGAAACATGGAACCAGAGAAGCAAAGATGTTTAGGAGGATATGTGCGTTTAATTTGTGTGTGTGAACATAAAATTTTACATCGACTTACACTTCGATTAGCCAAAGGGCTACCATTATATGATAGTTATGATATTTTAGTTATTCGATAATTTGACTCTTTTTCCCCCTGCCAATTAAAGTAAGTTGGCGCGAGTTGAATCGGAAGACGCATATGCATATCGTCAAACCATTTTTTTCCCCGTCAGATGCGTGTCTTCAAAGGATACATGGAAATTAAGTAAAATAAGAAAAAGAAAAGAAAGTAATCGCAATTTAAGAATAAAAATTAAACACGAAAGAATATGTTGTTACTTTTCCTAAGAGACAAATTATAAGGGCCAAAATATTATTTAAGAATCTGTAAAATATTTTATTTTCTTAGAAAATTCATGTTTATAATCAATATAATATTTATTTTTAAATAAATATGTTTTACAGATTTATTTTAAAATCTTAGCCTTGTTTGGTTCTATTTTATATTTTTTTACGTTTTTTAAAAACAAAATTTTAAGTAGTAAGTTTTTTAGAGAAAAAAATTAAAAATTTATACTGCTGTTGAAGGAACTGTAAAAATTACGGATTTCCATCCTCTTTCTTTCCCTCCACCGTCATCTTTTTTTCTTCACAACTATTAGATCAAAACTCCAATAGTTCAGATTTAATATTTTATAACATTTTATAAAAATAAATATTATTATAAAAATAGGTAAATAAATTTAAACTGTTAAAATATAATCTGAACAGTTCATTGCTACAAACTGTTAAAATAAAACAATTTTTTTTGAATTTTTTTATTACAGTTGTGAACTGTTCAGATTATATTTTAGTAGTTTAAATTTATTTGTTTATTTTTTAATAATATTATTTTTATAAGATGTTAAATTTAGATTATTGGAATTTTGTTTTAGTAGTTGTGTAGAGAGAAAAAAGATGGTGAAGGAAAAGAGAACGGGAAGGACAGAGGAGAGAATCCAAATGTAAAAATTACTTTGCCGACCAGCAGATAAACAATAGGTATGCGAGTGAGGTGTGGAAGATAGGGTTAGATAGGAAGGACACGTGTGATAGGAACATTGTGGAGAAGATGGTGAATGATCTCATGGTGGAAAGAAGGCAGGAGTTTGAAAAATCGACACAGGCTTTGGCCGCTTTAGCCAAAACGAGGATACGAAAAGGTGGTTCTTCCTACTCTGATTTTGACCGTTTTGTTGGTTTCTTGAAGTCACTTAGCTGTCCTCGAAATTGACAGTTCTCATTGCGCGCGATGCCATGGAGATTTCTTCTTCCTGCAATATAATCCCGCTTCCTCCTGGGTGGGCCCCAATATTTCTTTTCTAATTCTTTGATAATCTCCTATGGGTTGGGACCCAACAATTAAAGTATTGTCATCCATTAGTTTTGCAGTGTTCCCTTGCTATCAAAGTCACAGCAGATGATTTTAGGAGTATAAGTAACATCTTGGTTATACTACCTCCAATTTTTAATATGAAAACTAAATAATTAATTTAAAAATATTTAAAAAAATAGCTAATTGAGTCAGTTATAAAAAAAAAGTGTTGATTTACTTAAATTAACATTATTTAATCATATCTATATTAAAACTACACTTGAGTGAAAAATACTTTATAATAAATAAAGATATTGTTTTAGAACACGTTATAAATTTAGGTGAGATATGGATATTATATTGAAAACCGCCGACAGACTCTCACATTTAGGATTAGAGGAA